GTTCTTTTACCAGAACTGCCCCACCCCATCCTATGACCATACTTGCTCGCCTCTGCCACCTGTTTCCTCCCTCTCCCCCTCTCTGTTTTGGCATTACTCTCTTCCTTTTGTCGTTCAGGGCAAAAAGATTTAAAGAAGGGAAGAAAATTGTAAAACCTTCAGCCTAGAGGCCCATCTCCCAGGAGAAGTTCCAGCAGCCTCTTGGTCACCATGGCAACGGGACTGATGTCATTCAGGGCTGAAAGGTCAGGGTCTCCCTAGTGGCGAGTCTGGCACTGTGGGCTGGGCCTTGGGTAAGGAGGAGGCTAGGGACACATCTGGAGCAGACCATGAGGGCCGGGGATCACAGATAGATGGAGGTAGATCAGGGAGATGCAGGCTGTTTCCTCACCAAGGATGGGACTTGGGCTTGTCTGTAGACTCGGTCCTTGTCTGTAGACTGAGCTGCAATCTGGGCTGGTGGAGTTTCCGGAGCCTGGAAACTTGGAGGAAGAAGGGATTGGTGTGTGTGTATGTGTGTGTGTGTGTGTGTGTGTGGTGATCATCAATCTGGACAGGACAGTGACCCCAGGAACTGTCCTCTTGACCTAAAACTTGTCTGGGACATAGGGGAAGTATCCTGGTGTGGACCCAGAAGGCTTGGGCTCTCTCCTGCTCCTGCTCCTGACTAGATTAAGGCAGGACCCCTTCACCCCGGGCCTCCGTCTCTCCATTTGTAGGCAAGGATGTGGATTTATTTAAGTTTCACAATACAGCTCCCCAGGCCCACGTGTGTCCATATTTCTCTCCTTTCCTTTGGTGCTGACTGGGCCTCTTTGGCCTGCCCCCCCTCGCCCTCCCCGGCTGTGCTGATTTGCTGCCCGCCCTTTGGCTCTATCAAGCCTGGCATCCTTTTCACGGCCTTTTGTCAGCCAAGCAGGGACTACAGAGGCCATTTCCTTGGGGAAAGGGAGAACTGTCAGGGCCCTTTTTACTGTTCACTCACTAGCCACTGGAAAGTTCGAGTTTGGTTAAGGCGCTGAGTGCTGGCAAGGGTCACTATTTCTACGAGGAAATGAGAGCGATGGGAAGGTGGGGGGGGCTGTTGCTGGGTACCCTGGGCATCCTCGCTTCCCTTAGGGAGGCTTCTTCACCCCTGGCCATCCCACAACTTCCTATGAGTTCTCCCCTCAGCCTCTAGGGAGCAGGGAAAAGGGAGATGTGTAGGATGCCGGTGACTATGGCAACATTAGTGGTTCCCACACCGTCCAGGAGCAGGAGCAGCCAGCAGTGGGGGAGGGTGTGGGTAGCAGGCCTCAGCAGAGCTGTGTGGGTGCCAGGGATGTGGGCACAAAGGCCATGGGAAGGCCGAGGGCAGAGGAGGGAAGGCTGTGGGAACCAAGAAGAGAAAGGAATTGGGACAAGCACTGGTGCCTCACGCCTATAATCCTAGCTTCTCAGGAGGCTGAGATCTGAGGATCGAGGTTCGATGCCAGCCTGGGCAGACCAATCTGAGAGAGACTTATCTCCATTTAACCAACACAAAGCTGGAAGTGGAGATGTGCGTCAGGGGGTAAAGTGCTAGCCCTTGAGCTAGAAAGCTAAGCAAGAGCAGGAGGCTCTGAATTCAAGCCCCAGTATGGGTGTGCATGTGCACGCACGCATGCATGTGCGCACACACATTCAGAAGATAGTAGAGCAAGAAAAAAGTCTGGGGCAGTAGAGTGACTTCCCACAGCCAGGGCTGAGAACTATGGAGTTGCTTGTCTCTTTTCCACATATACCCTGTCTCCAAACCTCCAGACAAGCCGACCTCCTGGCTAGAAGAGCAGCAGGGACTTGGGGTTGGGCAGTATCCTTTTCTAGCTCTGTTACTGCCATTCCCTCACTGTCTCCCACCCTTAGGGTTTGGGAATGGGGGAGAACAGGGTGCTTGGGAACTGGGTCCCCTGGCCAGAACCACCTCCTTGTGTCCAGTGTTACCACACAGGCTTTTTCTCGGCTATTTGTCCAAAAGCTTCTTGAAGACACCTGGCCACTGTTACTGTGAAGATGGACATTTATTAGCACACCCAGGTGTGCCACACAGAACACGGATTCAGACAGGAGTCTCTGCCCAGGAGGGCTCACAATCTAAAAGACAGCACACACGCACACATGCCCGCACACATGCACGCACGCACACACACAGGACAGCGGACATGGGGAGCGGGTCTTCACAGGAAACAGGTGGTGAGGGAACCACAGGCTGGGGGCATAACCGCGAGAGTGGCAGGGTCCTTCTGCTTGTCTTTGTGGGGAGGGAGAGGGGAGCAGTAAAGCCCAGGATGGCCTTCCAAGGAAGTAATGCGTCCAGCGGAGGACTTGCAAGACAAAGGAAACACCAGGCAGCAGCAGTCCCAGGCGCAGGGAGGGGAGAGGGGGCAAGCTCAGAGCAGGCCTGCGTGAGGCTCCGGAGCAGCAGCAGCAACCAAGGAAGAGGCCAAAAGCCAAGGAAAAGGCCCTGAGCTGTTGGCACCTGGCTATCAGGCTGTTTCCCAGGGCTGTTTTCAAAAAGCCTGAACAGAAGTTCCCACAATGGGGGGGGGGGTGGCCCCTGAGGCTACTTACCTGACCCAAGGGCCCCCCTGCAATCTCTGGCATAGAGATCAGAAGCCAAAAGAAGTCAATCCCCACACCCCCCTTTCTGGTGCTTTGGATTAGGCCCAGGGCTTCATGCTAGCTAGGCAAGAGTTCTGCCACCGAGCGACACCCTGGCCCTTGGAAAAGGGACCAGATTGTAGGAAATTGAGGAGGCAGAGATGGACAGCTTGGGGGTAGGGAAGGGGGGGGCACATAGTGCAGCTCAAGGAGGCGGCTGTCGGCCCCAAATGAGGGGGGACACGAGGTATGTGGCTCCCTAAACTCCAGAGCGGGTCAGGGACAGCAGGTAGACAAGTGACATGCACGGTTTCTTTTGTGCCTCTGTCCAAAGGAGAGTGCCACCTCCCAAGGGACCCTGAGAGCTGCCAGCACTGCCCCTGCCCTGGTGGGGAAGCATCTGTATGTTATTGCTTCTTTGTGGCCAGGATGCTAAGAGCAGGAGGAAGGAAATAGCTGACGGAGAGCTACAGACAGGAGGAAAAGGGAATTTCGCTTCCCAGGCCCTCAAGCTAGAACTTGCCAAGGGCTCTTTAAAGTTGATTTTTTTTTTTCCCCTAAGCGACTACAGAAAAGAGCGGCTACAGGTCAAGCCAATAGACCTAGAGCTCTATCCTCCTCCCAGCACCCCCTCTCCCCCCAACCAGGGAACCAGGAAGAAGACACTGGCCCCAAACCCCAGCCGCTGAGCAGGTGGAAGTAGGGAAAGTAAGGGGGGGTCACCTTTGCCTTATTTGATCTTTCAGAGGAGTCAGGGAACAAAGGTCCCTGGGAGGAACTGATAGGATGTCCAATTCGGTGAGATCAAGGACTTCTCCTGAGGCCTGGAGGAAACTTGATTTCCAATAGGCCTTAGTTTCAGTGTGACCTGGGCGATAGGACTCCTTACTTTCTGGGCAATCTATATCTGAGGGTGGATGAAGCTCAAACAGGGCCAGGACCACTAGGAAGTCCTAAAGATGACAAGCTGAGGTAGGGAGGGGGTGGGGGGAGGAGCCTCAGTCCCAGGCTCCCCATCTCCCTTTCCCACCTGCTTCTTCCTCTGGGGAGGTAAGAGTAAGCTGGGCCCCGCGGAGGAAACAAGAGAGGCCCTACTTTTTCACGATCCTTTATTAATCAGAACAGGCCTTGCTACAAAAAGCAGGGCCCATTCCCACAAAAATATGGATTTTGCAAAGAGGAAATCTTGCTGGCTTAAGAGAGGGTGCGTGTAGTGGAAAAATTTTGTATGGTTCTTTTTTCCTTTTCCTTTTTTTTTCTTCAATTTTTTTCTTCATTTCTCTTTGCTGCTTTTTTTGTGATAGTGGGTTTTTTTATGTTTTGTTTTTTATAAAACACTTGCGCTCAAGGACTCAAACACAATACAAACAGCGGCCACCAATCCCCACACCCCTGGGGCTCCAACTGGGCTAGGAACCCCTTGGCTTTGTGTGTGTGTGTGTGTGCGTGTGTGTGTGATTGTTTTCCTCTGACTCTCTCATGGCCTTTGGTGCCAGAGGGCAGTTGTAAGGGGTCTTGGGGCAGGTGGAATTTGTACAGCAGATACGTGGAGCAGATGGTCACAAGAAGGAATACCTGAACAGGGTAAACAACTAGTCTAGGGTGCCCACAAAGATGACAGATGACTCTCATGATGGAGCCTTGGGACACAATGAAGAGACAAACAGGCTCTGGCTGGCCTGGGCTGTCCTTGGAGGCTCCTGGTGGGGGGGGGGGGCAGGTGGGCCTTGCTCTCAGGCTGTAGTAATAATACTTTGCTCCAGGGTGGCTCTTTTCTTGACTCCTAGGTCAGGTGATGGTGGCCTCACAACCTCCCCTATGAGGTAGGTGAAGTGTTATTACCATCATTATACAGATGGGGAAACTGAGGACCAGGGAGTGTGGGTGACTTGCCCAAAGAATCTGGGACTGTGGTGGCAAAGCTCTGGTGCCCTCCCTCTCCAAATTCCCCCACTCCTGATCTCGAATCCATTGCCTTAGATTGTCTTGCTCCCACTCCAAATTACCAGCCACCTCTTCCCCTGATGCCAGATCAGGAGCACCCACTATGGCTGGAGGTCAGGGAAATCCCAGGCCAGATCACCAAGGTGACTTGGGTGGAGTCTGACTGGGAACTAACCCCTAGTCAGGATGCTCTCAGCATATGATTGGTTAAGAGCTCCATAGGCGGTACCCTGGGGAAGCACTTGCCCCGCCCACTCAATCTGAGTTGGCTGGGGCCTGGAGGACACAACCACAGGGGAGGGGCTTAGGGCGGGGCTTGCTCACTTTCCTCCAAGGTCCTGCAGCCCCCCCCCCCCCCCCCCCCCCCCCCGAAAACCCAGGTAAATTCTAGAGGGGTGCAGAGAATGACAGGTCCCCTCCACCTGACACCACCCTCTCCTACTTCTACACAGCCTCCCGAGACCCCACTGAGGGGCAGCTCCCCATTTAAAACAAGCTACACTATAGAAACATTTGGATTTACAAAGAATGTGAGTGACTATTGGCTTTACATTGGCATTCTTCGCTCTACAAAACAATTCACCTACTACATATGATATTCCTCCAGATCCCAAGGGTTGGGAGGGGAATGGGGGCGAGGGGGGCGTTGGTTAAAGTCAGTTTAAGAACATTTTGGTATGGATGAAAGGCAGCCCGTCTACTGCAGAGAGTAGAAGGCTAGCTCAAGGGCAAGCCTACTGAAGGAAAACAGCTTCCAAAAGTCCATGGTCTCGCTGTGCTTTGGATGTGAGGGCCCAGTCCTGAGACTCTCCTTATTTTCCTTTGGGGTGTCAGACCCACCCAGGGTAGAAAACTGTGGTCTAGAAACACACAGATGGTGGCGATCTATCACCACCTGGTGGTGCATTGTGGGAATGTCTGGCCCAAGCTTGGAGCATCGGCATTTTGAGTCTGGGTGGTTTTAAAGATGACAGGGCTTAAGCAGGGGTCGGTCACTCTAGAATCTGCTCTGTTCAAAGGGAAGCCAGTTCTAGTCTCAGTGGTAGCTGGGAGGAGGAAACACAGCTGCGTTGTGTGGGAGCGACCCCAGAATCCTGGACCAGTCCCCTGCTGCTTCTGCCTGCACGGTGGGAGGGAGGGGTATAAAAAAAACCAACCAACCTGGCGTTCCTGGGAGGGGTTAGCAAAGTGCAAAGAGCCTGGAGCAGCTCAGGAGATGGGGGTGCGGTGGGGTGGGTGTTTGTCAGGGACTGTGGAAGGAAGGAAGGGGAGGTCTCCAGCAGGGGACAGAGGGGTAGGGTCTGCTGGGTAGGGACAGATAAGAAAAGTTAAGAAGGCTGGAACATATTGCCAAGTTGACTGGAATGAGATATGGAAGGTTTTTTTTGGTGGGGGGGAGTGTCTATGGGTAAGGGTGTTAGGAGAGCGAGGTGTAGGATGCCTGAGAAGGAAAAGGGCAGGCCCGTCCTGTGGAATATTATGCACACAGTAGGTTCCTACAAAATGTGAACTCAGGTCCAAGAGATGACATTGCTCCTGGAGAGCCCTGAGCTCTACTCTGCTCTGTGGCCTCAACCTCTCCCCGCCTTGAGCCCTACCGGGCCTTCATGAATTCCTGCTTTTCTACAAAGCCTGCTGGCCCCAGGGGGGACGGGGAGTGAGTGCCCTCCTCACACGCACACGCACACACACACACACACACACAGTGGACACAACACAAGTACACAGGGCCATAGCTCCAGGATCCTGGAGCGGCCAATATACTATCCTCGGCATTCAGGGCCCAGCCGGCGCCTGAAACTGCCCTGGTGATGGGCCTGATCAGCCTGGCTGGGGCCAAACGCCTCAGGCCCCCCTCTCCTTGGACCCACACTAGGGGGTTGTGGGGAGGGGTGGCTGCTCTCCACTCCAGGCACTGCCTTAAAGAAAACGGGGGACCTTGCCCACCTGGCGGGCCTCTGGAGGGATCTGCCCGTCTGGCTCTCGAGTTCTCCCCCACTTCTTTAGTGTCAGCGAGTCAGGAAGGAAAGGGGCAAAGCAGGAAAATGGCTCCCAGAGCCCCGCCCCCGAGCTGGACTGGTGGGGGTGGGGCTGATGCTTCCTAGACATGGGGCCCAATCGAGTCCTGGGACCCCCCTCCCTGGCTGAGCCCTCAGGGTCCTCCCCTCACCCACGGCAGGGTGGCCAGGCCGGGTGTTGTGCATAAAGTGGTGAGGGCATGACAGGGACCTGGGCCTCTGCCCCCTGGGCCTCTCCTGGCCCTACTCAGGCCTTTAGCTGGTGCCACTGAGCCACAGGCTGCCGGGGACGGGCGATCATATCCTTCCAGTGCTTCACCTCACCGGGCCCGCTCTTCCAGGACAGGTAGATCTGGGGAGGAAAGGGAGCGGATGTATTATCATGGTGTCAGTACCGCCACACAGGCCTCTTCCTTCCCCACTCTACTGGCCCAGCCAGGGCCTGAGCATGCCCGCCCTTGAATCAGACTGCGATCTCTTTTGCAGTGAACATTGATGGGCCAGATGTGGGTACGGGTGCAGGCAGTGTGTTCTCTTGGCTTTCTCTGAGGGCACTGCCTAGCTCACCATCATCACCATCGTTTCTGCCTCTTGTGAATTTCCTACCTGCCAGGCCCTGAGCTAGGGCTCTGTTATTTGTGGATCATGGCATCCTTACAACCACGAGATGGTTTCAGATGGGGGAAACTAAGGCACAAAGAATGAAGAGACTTAACCCTCAGCTACAGTTTGTGCCTGGGGATTTACGGCAAGTCTTTCAAGGCTCTAGATGGCGGATCCTGCTGGGCCTCTGTGTTAGGACTCCATAGCTTTGTGGGGCTGTGTGCTGAGGCTTTCAGAACCCTAGTGTAGGCTCAGAGCGGGCACTGGTGGCTGGTTAAGAGCAGAGGTACTGGGGACAAGGCAGTAGGTACTACAGGACTCCCAGCTAGGGCACTTCAAGGGTGTCAAGGTCAAAGGGAAAAGGGGAACACAGAAACTGTTGTGGATTAGAAAGGCCTGACGGCCAAGGTAACTCAGTGCAAAGTGGGACCCTGGGTTGGATCCTGAACCAGAGAGAGAACACCCAGGGAGGAGGTGGTGGAATGCAAATAGTCTGCAGTTGGGGGGGGTCTCACCACGGCAGCCATGGTGGTGAAGACTGCACTGATACAATACAAGAAGCTCATGGAGAGACTGCACCAGGAGCTCCGGGAACTCTGCACTGTGTTTGATACTTTTCTGTAAATCTAAGATTAATCAAGAGGTATATACTAATAAAAGAAAAAGCATGTGAGCCAAATCCAGCTCTGGCATGTAGAAGCAAATTTACCTCTCTCAGACTCAGGCCCCTGCATAAAATGGGCCGATGGTATACACCTGTAATCTCAACTACCAGGAAGAGGGAGGAGGATTGCAATCCAAGGCTAGCCTGGGCAAAAACTATCAGACCCTAGCTGAAAATCAAAAGGACTGGGGGTGTAGTTCAAGTGGTAAAGTATTGCCTAGGAAATATAAGGCCCCAAATTAAATCCCCAGTTCCACAAGATCAATTGATGGATCAATAGCTAATGTAGATAACTGATCATGGCACCTGCCTCACAGACAGCTGGAGTTGGCACATGGGCCACTCAGAGGACATGGTGGGAGCTCCCTTGATGAATTCTCTAAGTCAGATCCGTAGCTCTGAAACTGATTGACTATTGACCCCTGAGGTTCTAGGAATGGTCCGCCTTTATGAGCTCAGTCGAGCTCAATAACCAGCATCATCAGTGGTACAGATTCCTAGCTTTTAGGGGCTGAGCCTGGCCCAGGATCTCAGAAGGATTCCCCTGATCCTTAGGCCCCATAAACTCTCTAGGCGCAAGGCAAGAACAAATCCACATTTGCCTGGGTTTGGCCCACAGGAGACAGGCCTGTTTCTAAAGCAGCTCTCGTTGATATCTAAGGAACACCCAATTCCAAAAGGCTGAGCCATGAAAGAGCCTAGAAGAGGACATAGGTGGGCATTTCACCCCTGGGGCGTAGCTGTCCACAGAGCAGAGTCTGGCTGGAGTAGGGGAAGGCCGGGTCCCAGGGAGCTGTCCCACCTGTGACCACAGATCCGTGAGTCAGACTCCCAGGGCTTGTTCTCCCTCACCAAGCCAGGCTGCCCTTGCCCTCCAACGGCTGGGCTCTCCTCTCCCATCTGCCAGGGGGAGGCTTCCAGCTCAACCCCTTCCCTGCAAGAATGTGGCCACTCCCATCTTCCCCAAACAAGGCAGCACCTCCTGCCACCCCTGGCTCCCCATCACTAACTCTGATCACTGGCTTCCTGACTGACAGACCCTACCTTTAGTAGGACATTTAAAAAGGAACTTGTAATAAATAGTAGCTAACCTATATGCACCAAGTGCTACGGCAAGCATCTCCCTGCGCCTCTAGCTGTGTCACCTAGCTCTCCCCACAGGCTGTGTGATAGCATGGTTCCATGCTCATCTTGAGAAGAGAAAATAAGGCTCTGAGAAGTCACAGCTGCGGGAGGCAGGGCCAGAGGACTGGGGGTGTGGCTCGTGGTGGGACACTTGCCTCGCATGCAGGAGGCCCTGGGTTCTGTCCCTAAGCACTGCCAAAGGTAAAAAGAGATGGGGCTGGAACCCGTGAGTCCATTCTCAACACTAAGCCATAAACAGGAAGAGATCCTTTCAAAACAGGGCAATGGAAGGGCTTATGTCATAAAGTCACACTCGAGGCTAGGTGTGGATTCTTAGGCTCAAGAGGTGATAAGAAGTAGGGGTTAACTTCAATGCGAGGAGAATGGAGAATTTATACCTATCTTAGGCAGTTTTTTTTTGTTTTTTGTTTTTGGTGTTGGTACTGGGCTTAAGCTCAGGATCTGTCACTATCACTTGGCTTTCTTCTGCTCAAGGCTGCGGGGCTCTACTATTTGGGCCATACGGCTTTTTGCTGGTTAATTGGAGATAAGAATTTGTCTGCCTGGGCTGGCTTTAAATCACATTTGATCTCAGCCTCTTTAGTAGCTAGGATTGCAGGTATGAGCCATTGGTGTCTGCTCTCAGAGGGTTCCCTGAGAGAATCTCACCCTGGAGAGCTCTGCAGGATTGGCATTAGTCCCTCCATGTTAGAGAAGCTCAGAGTGGTACATGACTTGCTGTAGCCCACACATCTGTATAAGGTGGGAACGGAACTGAAGTCAGGCCTTTGGTGACCCTTCCCCTGCACAGTTCACCCTCTTTGAAGGTGGACCTCCAAGAACTCTGGAACTGATTCGAAGGTTCCTCTTAGAAAACTTTCTTTCCTGAGGAAAATTCCTCTTTCCTGGAATCCCCTTTCCTCCACAAAGAAATATGGGCCCAGGCCATGCGCCCCCTACTGGCCTACCTTGCCTATGACGTCGTTGCGGCTGAGCTTGTCCTTGTCCATCACAGTGATGATGATGGTGGTCTCCCTCAGCTTCTCCGTGGGAATGTCAAAGGCGAAGGACTCGTTGAAGATGGGGTTCAGATTTCTCTTCATCGTCACCGTCTTCTTCTTCTCTACCCGTTTGTCCTTGTACATCAGCCACACCTTCACGTAGGGATCTGGGGGTGTGGGAGAAGGGTTAGAGTCCTTGTGTTAGGGGGACTGCGAGGATCCCGGTGCCCTTCTAGGCGTGGATGCCGAGGTGAGCGCTGGTTGTGCGCATCTCCAGAGCTGCACACTCAGGCAGAGCGGGAGACCTCAGGGAGAACTACCTATGGCAGAACCAGAAAGAAGCTGGGCCATCCCCTAGTGTCCTCAAGCCAATACCCAGGAGGAACCCCAGCTCTAGCGGCCACGTCTTCCCCATATCACTCACTTGGCTTTGGAGCTAGAGCTCGGAACCAAGCTGTCCCAGTACAAAATCCTTGTGTCTCTGATTTTGGCAGGGACAAGTCCAAGGAGACCCTAAGGGCGTGGTAAGGGGCCCCTCGGGGTATCTGGGGCGGAGGCCCTGGCTTGGGAGTCCAGGAGGAGAGCTGCAGGGCACGGCCCACCCTCTATCCTCCAGGTGCCCCCCTGGGGATGCCCCCTCTGCCATGAGGAGCCCCAGTACCTGATGTGCCTCCGATGTCCATGGCTTTGAGGTTCCGGGCTTTGATGATATTCACGATGATGGAGTTGGCAGAGGGGTTGTAGCAGAGAGACAAGAGCAGCTCCCCTCGGCTCCCCTGTGGGAACAACAGGAGGGTGAGGCTGGGTGGTGGTAGGGTCCCTGGGAGGGACAACAGATAACCAGACTCCCTCTGCCCTCATCCACCGGGGTGCTTACCTGTCCCCCCCCGTCTGTTACCACAGTTAGACTACCTCACCTCCTCTGGCGAGTCTAGGGTCTCCAGTTTGCTGAACAGAGACCCTGGGTCTTTCTCCCAGATCAGTGCTGAGTGTTGAGACTGAGTCCCACAGTGTGACCATCCACCAGGACCCTACCCCACGCCCTGCTGGCTTCCCAAGGTCCTGGAGAGACCAGGAGCTGCGATCATCCGTGGACCACAGGGGAGACTTACACTCCCATCGCTGCATGGCTTCAGATCCTTCCAGAAGGTCTGCATCTGGGTCAGGTCCACCTTATTGAGGGGGATGGACACTTCCCCGATGGGGTCATTGCGGCTGAAACGGTCGTAGTCCAGGACCTGGAGGTAGAGGACCCTCTGCACCACCTTCTCGTAGGGAAAACCTGAGAGGGACAGACATGTGGGGTGAGGAGGGGGCAGAAGGGCCACATGTGGCCCAGGAAAGAGGAAGTGAGGGAGAGAGGGAGAGAAGAAAAGGGAAGGAGGGGAGGGAGGAAGGGAGGGAGGGAGGGACAAAGCAAGGAAGCAGGGAGGAAAGGAAGGAAGGAAAGAAGGAAGAAAGGAAGGGGAGGAAAGAAACAAGGAAGGAAGGAGGCAGGCAGGCTGGCCAGCTAGCCCCGAGAGCTGGCCCTGTGTCCTAGGCCTGTAGGCCACACCCGACTGCAGTACAACTTGCTAAAGTGCTACTGAGAACTGGATCTCACATGACAACTATTTTTCTAGTATCTTGTCCATTTAACCGACGAGGAAACCGAGGCCCAAGTAGCTTAATTGCAAAGCTCCACAGCTACCAACAGAACAGAGGCAGTCCCTGCACTAATTCCCCACGTGGCCATCTCAGGAACTGGGCAGCGGGGGTTCCTGTTTTGGAGAGCCACTGCCAAATCTGGACAAGTGGCGGTGCTGGAGGCTGCCCAGCTGTCAGTCAGAAAGCCCAGGACGCATGAGGGTGGGGAGAAATGGGAAAACATCAAGCGAGGCAAACAGCAAAAGCGTAGAACTGGGAACAGACAGCGATCCAAGGCACCGGCCTTAGATGTTGTGCAATCTGAACAGATCCTGTGTTCCTGCTCTCCTCCACATCACCTCTGCAGCCACACCACCCGCACCTCGTGCCTGGACAACCATGACACCGCCCTCCCCGCTTCCCTGCTTTCTCCCACAGTCCATTCTCCACACAGCAGCCGGAGCAAGCTTTAAAAATAGCCCGTACATCACGGGCCGGCCACTCCTGCTGAAAGCCTTTCAGTGTCCCGGTGCACTCAGAACAAGAGCCAGCACCCCACCTTGCTTCCAAGTCCTCCTACAATCTGGCCCTGCTGTCTGCACCCCGTTTTCTTGCAAAGGCTCCGTCCTCAATGATGGGGCAAATCTCCAGCCCAGACGCCTCCTTCCAGACTTCTGTACCCTGACCAGGCCCCGACCTCTCCTGGCCTTGGCTCGCACTGTCTCCCCTCCCCTCCCCTCCTGCTCTCTCCCAGTTTATTGTCATCTTGAGTTCTCAGCTTTCTCTCCTGCCATCCCAGATGGCCGGATGCCCTGTTCCACGCTCGAGCACTTCCCTTTCCCAGTGTGGATTGCAAGCCGTAATAGACTTATCCGTCTGTTTCCTTCATTACTGCCTGACTCGCAGGGACTTCCAGGAAGGCATCTCTGTGACCAGCCGCTGGACCCACGTGGCTAACGCTGTTGCTGGCACATAGTAGGCACTCGATAAATATTTGTTAAGAGAATAAATAATTGAAGGGATGAATGGGTGCCAGGGAAATGATGGACAGAGCCACTAGAACAAAAAGAGAGAGGGAATCGGGGAAGGTCAGAAGCTGGGAGCTACAGGCCCCAGAGGATTTGGGGGCTGGGTGGGGGGACTGGGGTGGTTTTGGGGGAGGGACACAGGCCAGTCTGAAGGCTGAGATCTTGAACTGAGAGGTGAGTAGGGAGAAAGGGGCACCTAAGTTGGACTGATGGAGAAGGTATAGAGGGAGGGAAGAGCTCTAGAAGAATCTAGCACCTTCACACTGGCAGCAGAGGAGGCTTTGACCAGAGCAGCTGAGCTAGAAGAGACCAATCCTCTGAACTTGTTCAAGGACCTTCTCGTCTGCTATGAAGGAGTCTGTCTGGGTCATCTTGGAACTCTTCAAAGGACTCCGCCCAGGTGACCTTGGGCATGTGTTTGGGTGAAATGGAGAACAAGTATTCTGGGAAAGGTTGGTTGATGCTTCTAAGGGGTTCCTGAATCTGACAGCTCCACACAATCAGAGCAAGTCATTGCCCATCTAGCAAACTCCTACGCAGCCATCAGAATCTACCCTGAATGGCCCCTCTTTGGGGAAGATTTCTTTTGCTCATCAAGATGAGTTCCTATAGCATTTGTCATGTTGTGTGTGGCTTCATTATTGGCTCATCCAGGTCCTCCTTTAGGCTGGGATGCTGGAAGTCCATGCAATGCCTCCTTCTCTTCTGAGCTCCAGTACCTAACTCCAAGTCAGTGCTGAGTAACTGCTGGGCTTGGAGCGGGGTGGCCAGGACTCTGTCCAACCTTGTCCTCTCAGCTAGTGCACAGCCTAGCCTCCACCCATGGTGCTGCCTCTAACCTGGTCCCCAGGCTGAGCTGGGGAAGAGGGGCCATGCTTTGCGACCTTGCAGAATGGGAAGGATGTGGTCACTGGCTGGAGAAGGTCTCTGGGGTGTGCCAGGGCACCGGGGCGGCTGGCATCCAAGGGGTTTATTCTCACTGGTTGAACCAGGCTGTCGGGCTGTCGGCTCTGGCTTCTGTGAGTGGGGATGTGGCACCCACAGGCCGTGGGACAGAAACTGTCCCTTAATCATAAGCCCTGCCTCCCAGCGACCCTCTGACATTAGAGATAAGAATAAGCTTCATGAACGAGGAAGGGCCCCAGACGGCACAGGGGGGCGCCTTTACTCCATCCCACGTAGGGAGCGAGGCAGAGGTCAGCCAAGGCTGGGGCAGCGGTCGGAGGGCCAGGCGCTGCTCACTGAGCTCTGACAGCGTACTCGCTGGTTACCTGTTATCCTATTACAGACAATACTGAAATTCTCACTCCTGCCTCTGTTTTATTGATGAGAACACCAAAGCCCGGGAAGGTTTAGGAACTGGTCCATGGTCACACAAGAAATGTGACAGGTAGGATTCAAACCCAGGCAGCCAGGACCACGGCACTGATTGCCCCAGGGTGCTCAATCTCAGAACGGCATGGGCATGGGTACCTCCCGCCCATCCTGCCCTCCCCAGGAGGAGTACTGAGTCTGGGCTGGAGGCCCAAGCAAGGCCCGACTTCCATCCTTAGCCTCTGGTGTGCCAGTGCTGATTCTTCTCAGCATCTGAACCCTGATGTGAGTTAAGTCCTATGATGCCTTGGGTCAACGGGTTGAGTCGATGCCTCTGGGTGTGCGTGCACCAGGACGTTCTCGTGTGCATGCACACGCGTGTGCCCGTGTGGGGGAGGCGAGCAATGGCGGGTAGAGGGAAGGACACGGAAGGGGGTGTGGGGCCCGGCTCACCTTCGAAGAGGAAGGTCTCGTTCCAGTGGGGGTTCAGGTTCTTGCGCTTCACCTTGGTCTCCAGCTTGTGCTTCTTGTCGGGCAGCAGGTAGATCTTGACAAAGGGGTCGCTGGTGCCGCTGAAGTCCTTGGCCGGCAGCTCCTGGGCCTTCATGATCTTCACGGTGAGCGTCGACTCTTGGAAGTTGTAGCCGACGCTGAACTGGATCCGGCCCAGGTTCTCACGGCTGCAGCCCTCGTGGGCCTCGTCCTCCTCCGAGCCTGGGGAGAGCTGGGGGCAGGAGAGGCCAGCAGGTTGGAGGGGTGCACTCTGCCTCTCCTGGGCCTCTCCACAGCCCAGAAGGGTCCACAGTTCTCTCTGTGCTGGAGTCCAGGCCAGCTGTTAGGAAACTACCCGCCCCCCCCAGCTCCGGATCGGCATGAGGGGTCTGGCTGGGGCTGGGGTGGGGCTGGGGAGGGCTTTGCATTCACCCCCAGCAGAGGAAGTTCTGACCCAGTGCGCAAGCGTGCCCCCCGCCACCAGGGCTCAAGGGAGGTCGGCGAGGCAGAGCTGGAGTGGCTCAGAGTGTGGGCCGGCCACGCCACTCTCCTGCCTCCCCTGCAGCCCCGGGGTCTGGCCGGCTTCAAGCGTCACCTCAGACTGTCTTAGCCTCCCTGTCCCAGCGTCCTGATGTGTGTGAGGGACACACACAGTGTGACACAGTGTGACACAGTGGGCCGCAACGCAGATGAGGGGCTGTTCCCCCCCAGAGCTCACCACACACGGCTCTAAGATGCCCCCATAGTGCGAGTTATAAGGTGAGAGGCAGGCGCTTTGGGGTGAGGTGTAAGTCAGGTCCACTAGGGACTGGAAGAATCACAGACTCCACAGGCCCTGGCCTCAGAGAGGCTGCCGGGCTCAGGCTGGGCTGTCTATGAGGCGCCTCTGATGATTGCACTGTGAGTCTAGGTGGGGACACGAGAAGGCTGTGCCCCGTGCTGAGTGCCCTGTGTCAGGGCTGGCTTTGGGGGCTGTTACAGACACCAGTGGATGTCTGGGGCGCGTGCGTGCGTGCATGTGTGTGTGGGTATGTGTGTGTGTGTGTGTGTGTGTGTGTGTGTGTGGCAGGTGGTTGGGGGTGGGGGTCTCAGCCAGGTAGCTGCTCCACGAGGAACACCTCGAGAGGTTTTAAGACCCTGCCACCTGGGCATCGCTGATGAGCCAGGGATAGGCCCTGGGGGAGCTACACAGTCACCAAATCCGCAGGTACTTGCTTTTAGCAGAAACCTCTGTGCCGGCCTTCATCCTAGAGAGGCAAGCCCCAGCTCTGAAGTTCTAAATAACGCAGATAGCAATAATGTCACCTACCATGCAGAAGACTTCTTACCGCTGGCCCAGGTAGCTGTCACCGCCTCCTGGCTGAGGAGACTGGCTCAGAGAGGTTAAGTCACATGTCCAAGAACGCACAGCAGTAGGAGCCCTTTGTGACTTGAAGGCCTACTCTGTCCATCAAAGCAGGCTTAACCCTCCTGCTCCCCCCCCACCCCTGTCCAGGGTGATAGTAAGATACACCCCCACACACCCACACCAGCAAAGTCACCTGTGCTAGGGGAGAGGTGGGTGTTCAAGTCTGCCCATGCCATACGCCTCATCTCCACTCACTCCTTACTACACAGTGAATGGTCAGGCACCACAGTGTTCTACCTTCCATCTGGAGCACAGAAGAGGTCAGGTGACTGGAGGCCAGTCACAGAATGGTAAATGGGAACTTGAACCAGGACAGGTACTTGCGTCCTCAGCACCTAGCTACCCAGACCTATACTCTGTCCTGAGAGCTTGAACCCTGGCGTGGTCCTGTCATGAGGGGGACACTGAGCGGCCGTTGTAGCTGCTCTTCCTCACATCAGAAGAGTCCTTCCAGGCCACACTCATGGCAGATCCCCGCCTCTCCCAGCCCTTTGCCAGGCCCACTGAGAACATGACTTGGCTTCTCCCTCATGGCAACCTATTCTCAGTTTCTCCATCTGCAGAACGGGATCATGTGACCCAGCCTGGGACCCTGAGGGCCCCCAGTCCCTCCAAATCCTGCTCAGCACCCCAGCTCTCTGGCTGTAGGATCAAGAGAAGCCCTGGCATGCGTGGACAGTGCCACCAAAAAAATCACTTGGGGCTGGGAAGGTGGCTCAGTGGTAGAGCGCTTGCCTTGCACGCATGAGGCCCTGGGTCGATTCCTCAGCACCACATAAGCAGAAAAAGCTGGAAGTAGCGCTGTGACTCAAGTGGTAGAGAGCTCGCCTTGAGCTGAAGAGCTGAGGGACGGAGCCCAGGCCCAGAGTTCAGGCCTCACAACCGACAAGAATCACTTGCCCCTCTTTATTCCTTCAAAACTAGGGTGTGGTTTTGGGTGTCTGGGGCCCTAGCTGAGATCCTTGTGGCTTGTGATTCCCAGCCCAGGTAGGCTTTACTTTGGAAAAGGGGAATGCCTCTGAACCCTCTCCCAGCCTTCCCATCCACAGCTGGGAGTCCTAATGAACCAGCTGTTTCCATGGTAACCAGGATACCTCCCCTCCCATCCTCATTCCAGGGAGGGGCTGCCAGAGGCCCTGTCCCAGGAGACAAGTCTTAAAGAACACCAGCCTGTGCCAGGTCTGGAATACCCCAATGGGTTTGGCTTGACATCTTCTCTCAGCTGGTCAGCTCTGTGTATCTCCCTCATCTCCTGAGATCCCCAAGCTTCTATGACCCAGGCCAGAAGCTCATTGGGTTCACTTGGGCCTGGTTATCTTTACCGTTAGGGACTGTTAATTCCAACAACCCAGCGGCATAGGGCAGAGGACATGAGCGGGAGAAGGCCTGCGTTTTCATCTGCTGCCTGTGCCTGTCGGCCCCTCCCTGAGGGCAGCCAGGGGCCAGCAAGCTGGCTGGGAAAGGGCTGTCCTTTCTGGGAACCTGGCTAGCCAGAAGCAGAGCCAATTAAGGGGCTGGGCAGGGAGGAGAGCAGGCTGTGGCAATGGGCTGTCTAGAACTGAAGATGGCCAGGTTCTGTACATGGCTGAGGGCAGGTAGGGAGGAGGGCAGTGTGGGGTCAACTACATGACTGAGGCAGGGAGAGGAAGAGGGCTCAAGATGGGCAGATCTGGGGATCCCCTGATGCTCTAACCTGAATTGGAGAGAAATGCAGATGCCTGGGCCTCGGTGTAGGCCTGTTGCCTGGGATCTGCACTTTACAATGGTAAATGGAGATATGGCAAGCCTGAAAGGGGCTGTGGGGCTGCTAGTAAGAGCGGGCCGAAGCCCTAACTGGCAAAGGGTAGGACGTGGAAAACAAGGAGATAGAAGCTGTGTGTCCCCACCCCCTCCCCAAGTCTACTTCTGCCTCCACAGAAGGACCCTCCCTCATTCTGGCCATGTCCAGGCCTCACCAAGCCTTCCAGACATGTAACTGGTTTTGGCACAGCCTCCCTCTGGGCCAAGCCAAGGAGCTCTCTGCAAAGAACAGGTGGGGCAGGTGTTGTGACTCACTTCTGCCACCAGGAGGAGCCATGCAGCCTTCAACCCAAGGCCTCCAAACAACCCAGATCTGGGCTTCCGCAGGGCAGATGGCCTCCAGGTGAGCTGTGGACAGGAGCTCCCTAGCACAGCGATCCACTCACAAGAAGGACCTGGGGGTGGGGGCTCCTGCTCTTCTGTTCTCTGGGCCTCCCACCGTGGAGTGGTAAGGTCACTGGTGATGTGAGCGACTTGGCCAAGAGCTCTACCCCAGACCTCCACCCAGAGGACAGGCGCACCTGGCTACTGCATGCCAGCCTCTCCTTCTACAAACTATCCCTGGCTACTGCATGCCAGTCTCTCCATTTAGAAGCTATCTCCCACGAGTAGGTGCTCTTTTCAATCCAGAAAGAGATCAAAGGAGGATGGTTATTCTTATTCTCCTTTGACAATGGAGGAAACAGATGCACAAAGAGGCTATTTGGGTGAAAGAGCCAGGAAAAGAACCTGAGCTTTGTCCTACCAGTTAGCAAGCACCAAGCGGTCACCACGCTGAGCGTGACTCTCCAGGCCACCTCTGGCTGGGTCCAGCGCTCAAGTGGGCCCGTGTGAGTTACCGTGTATGCCCCTTCCCCCACGAGCCTCCTAGCCCAGCTCCTCTGCGGGGCACAGCCTCCCCTCTCCCTCACCGCCCCCCCTCCCCCCACCATTCTCACCATAAGCATCTCGCTGGTGAGGGAGTTGACGAGGTCCGAGACAGATGAGCGGGGCTCAGTCCTGCGGTCTGACTCATCGTGGGGTGTCTGGCCCGGTACAGGGGCCGTGTTCACTGCCTTCCCTCCTGCAGGTAACCTGGCAGGGGGGAGGGGGGAGGAGGCCCGATGAGTGAGGGCTGGGGGGGGTGGAGTGGGCCGGGTACCATGGGCCTGGGTGGCTGGAAAGCCTTCTCTGAAGATCCAGCCTCTGCAAGAGCAGAATTCTTGTCCACAGGGAGAATGGATTCCCACCCCAGGCCCAGCACTCAGGGCGTTAAGTACCTTGGTGAGGACCATTTGAAGGGTGTCCACATTCTTCCTGTTCCCCAAGACCCCAGTCTCCCAGCTTGCATGGCTGTTCTACAAGCTCACGCGCTCAGCCAGAGGCTGACCCCACCCCTGCCTTGGAGGGCAGGCTCCGGGTGGCACATCCAGGTGCCTCTCTGCATCATTACCCTCTGTAAACACGCCACAGTGTCTGTCTCCCAGAGCCCCACCCGTGTTTGCTCAGGCCCAGCCGATCACAGGTGGGGGCAGGGTCACTATCCACACAAACTCTGCCCAGCGAGTTCCCACCACCACCGAAGTGCTCTCTCTATGTGCGCTGACCCCTGCTGCAATCACTGGCCACACACAGGCAAGAGGCTGAGACTTTGCAACGTGGCCAGCATGAGTGGCTGCAAGAGTCTGCATTTGATCACTAGGCTAATGTAGATTTAATAGCTACCTAGTAGGCAGGGCAGGGTGGCACCCTGTGCTCCCCAGTCTCCACCCTGTTTCCACCAGGTGACTCCATAATTGATGAGGAAGGGTGAGAGAAGTATGGGGGCAAGCACCCAGGAGTCCTGTCTGCACCCGACTCCATGCTGTTCAGGGCAGTGAGCCCAAGCTCCATTCAGCTAAGGGCTCAGGAAGGGGGCCTACAACCTGCCCAGGGACCAGACTGGAACGTCCCATGAGGAGGAAGAGAGGTGGGGGCAGGCAGCGAGGAGGAGACAGGACTGGGAGCATGGGGCTCGGGCAGGCTGGAACAGAACAGCATCGAGAGCACAGACTCACAGCTTCACAGGCCGGACAAGCCATGGCCTCCGGTACAGACCAGCCACAGCACACAGGCGGCCACAACAGCACAGACAGACCGACATGCATGGAATATGCCAGTCTGGGGTGGGGGGGAAACGGACACCAGGATTCAACAGCAGGCTACACAAACGCAGACCCACACACCTGCACACACACATGCACATGAGCCGAACAGATGCCCAGAGGAACAGGAAGAGAATATAGCATGGGCAGCAGGCAGGTCAACCAGAGCAGCTGAGATCACACACACACACACACACACACACACACACACACACACACACACACACACACACACACACACACACACACACACACACACACAGCGGTGGGCACACTTCAATCCCCACCAGAAATGCATTCGGGGAGACCCAGGCATGCCAATGTGTGCATGTGGAAGAGGCAGGGGGCAGACTCAGACCCATCCCTGATCATCAGGTGCACAACACACCTGGTGTGAGAACCTGGCCTTGCTGGGAACCCCGGCTACATCCACCCTGCCACTGCTCCAGGCCCCGCTCCCCAGACGCACAGATACCCCAGTATCAGAACCGCAGGTGTACCTGGGACCCCGCCCACACTGCCACATACACACACGTGCACACGTGCTCACACAGACAGGCACAGGGAGGAAGAGGAGACTGAAATAGCTGAAGAGGTAAAGTCAGGTTAAAAATAGAGCAGGAGAGGAGGAGAGAGCGTGAGGTTGACTGCTGAAGGTATGAGAAAGTTGGAGTTATTTTGGCCACGCCACAGTGTCAGCACAGCTGCAAGGCAGCCTGGGAAAGATGGTCAGCGCCCCCGAAGCTGTTGGAGGCCACAGGGCGGAGACAGAGAGGCACAGGGAGAGGCAGGGGGACCCGTCACCGGCCCTGTGAGGAGCAGATGGGAGGAAGGAGACAGAGAGAGAGAGACAGAGAGAGAGGAGAGGCCAAGAAAGGTTAGTCAGAGACATGTGCAGAAGGCTGCTTGGGAGGACGAGAGGACAAGGAGGAGCGAGGCGGCCAACAGGAGAGGCAGAGAGGAGGCAGGGGACACACAGGGGCGAAGGGACATGGCGGCTTCAGAGGAGGCGAGCAATGGGGTGGCCTGACCTGCCCCGCCTCCCACTTGGGGTGGGGGTGGGGCCACGGTGGAAACCATTTGGATCCCAAGGAGCACAGGCGGAATGGCGAGGGCGTGATGGAGGTGGAGGTGAATGAGTGGACGGGGCACAGCAGGGCACGGAGCCAGCGGCCAGCTTGGCCCCCCGCCTCCCTCCAAGAGCACTCCTGGGGCTGGGGTAACCTAGGTGGGCCCCAGGAATCTGGGGATCGAGACTGAACCCACCCCTTCTACTTCCCTGCAGCTTGTTGGACACATTGCTACCCTCCCCGGGGTCCTGGAATGGCAGGAACCAAGTGTGTGTGTGTGGGGGGGGGGGGATTGTTCTCCCAGACATCAGCTAAGACACATGACCAAGGGGATCCAATGAGGGTGGGAAGGATGGACTGAGGGTAGAAGGGCAGACCCTTGGTCTGAAAACAAGGTGACAGATTACTCAACTGGACACTGCGGGTCTGGGATCCCAGAGGGTGGGTCTGGAGGTGCTGGGGCCGGGCTAGGGGTTCTCAGGACCAAATTTTGGGATGGGGAAGCTTGCTAGGGAGGAAGCACTTGATTCTGTAGGGGGGCCCACCCCTAAGAAGACACTCCAGGGGTCATGAGAAACTCATATCCAGGATGGGTGGGCATGAGCAGGTAGGGTGGCATGTAACCGCTTGGAAAGTCAGGCAGGGTGGGGGGAGGGTCCGGGCCTCCACCTCCACACCCACCGTCCCCAGGGAGGCAGAAGACAAGCTGATGTCATGATCAGAAGGGGATGGGTGTGTTAAAATATGGAGTGAGACCTGAGTAGCAAGGAGGTAAAAATAGGCTTATGGGTGAAAATGGAGCCGGTTAATTAACACATACATGGGTGAGGTGAAATCTCGTTTCCAGCCTGCATCTGCTTCCTCACGCTTCACACCTTTCCCAGCAAGGGGATCAGGTTCTTAGCAGGCTCTTGGAGGGCTCCAACCCCCCTGCTGCCCCCTGGCCTGCCTGCCACCCAGCTTGGAGACGCTATGGCTTCTGCCACGTACAGGTGGGTCAGGTGTTCCAGACATGGGCTCAGGACGCCAAAAGTGCCACCCCGTAGAAGAGCCAGCCCCGTTCTCCCCTCCCACTCACTCTCTGAGCACTTCCGCTCCACCACAGACATGCAAGGTGAACTGAGGGTGGGTGTCGGGGGGGAGCTGAGAGGGCCGATCTCCAGAAGCTACTGGAGGGACAGCAAGCTGGCTGTCTAATCTCAGCCTAGCCACTCTTCCCTAACCCCCAAGCCCCTGGCAGTGCCCGGGACAGCCCCTTCCTGCCCCTGATGAACATCAGGCCTCCTAATGAACATCAGTCACCCGCCAAACATTCCCTGCCCAAGGGTTCGCTTCCTTATTAGCCCGTTAGTCCATTTCTTACAGGTCACCCTGTCTGATCTTCACTCAACAAATGCAGAGGCCTAGATAGGGGCTGTTTCTTGCCCCCAAATTGAGGCAGGCGCCCTGGCTGCTAGGCCACACCCTCTCCCCTAGACCTCTGGGTTCCTGAGGAGCAGACCTGGTATGGGTGGTGCCCATCGCCCCTCCTCCTCAGGACTGCGGTTGTGCGTCTGCCTAGTCTAATGCAGGCTGGGGGGAAGGGGTGCAGGAGATAGCTCCCGCTTTTGGGATGCCACTAAGCCCTGAGACCTCTGGCCCCTCTCCCTTTGGCCCTTGAGCAGTGCCCACCTCTCCTGGAGACAGAGGACAGACAGCAGGAGAGCTTCCCTGAATTCCTAAATGGTGGCTTTCCGGAAGTCCGGATACTCAGGCTTTGCTCAGCATGTGTGATGGCCACTTGGTCCCTACCAAGGCCCAGAAGCAGCAGCTGGGACAGGGCGCCTGCTCCAGTGAGGCCTGGGCATCCGCCTTGCTTGCTTACTCTCTCTTCCTGACATCTGGACTCCAGGGCTGTCCTTCTGATTGCCTCTGGTCACCAGGCCTCTCCCGCCCCCCAGACCTCCCCACTAGGGGTTTCTCTCCCCCCAGGCAAGAGGGAGGTTGGGGTGGTGGGGATGAGGGGGGACAGGCTGGTGCCCAACTCCCCTAACATCCTCCCCATCCAGCAACCACCAGTGAAACAGGGATTTCCGGGCTGGGGTGGGGCAGAGATGAGAGATGGAGGGACAGCAGAGAGGAAGCCAAGCAGGAAAGATGGGGCCGAGAGGGCTGGGCTTGCTCCAGGCCAGGGCAAGCATGCCAGGGAGCAGGCTTGATCCAGAATGGTCCCAGGATGGTCCCTTCATAGACCTGAGGGACCCCACCAAGGTGGCCATGGGCATCGGCTGGGGAGGGGCTCATCCTCCTGCTCCAGCTTCCACTGAAGGCACCGCCTCGTCCAGCAGCCGGCGTCGGCTGGGGCCGGCAGCCTCTCCGAGCCTCTTTCTCTGCCATCGCCGCTGCCGCCGCCGCCGCCACCGCAGGCCTTGCCTGTTCTCGTACCTCTTGTCCCCCTGAGCGTTCTGGTTCTGCTGAGTTCCTGGGTTTTGTAGATCAGGGATATTGGCAAAGTCATCCTGCTCCGAAAGCCCTAAGACCAAGGATAGCACCACCATCCGGCCTTCCCTGCCCGGGGTGGGCAGCCCACCAGCCGGGGTGAGACGAGAAGGCCCCACGGACAGTAGTAGGGAGAGGGAAAGGAGAGAGAGACAGAGACAGAGACAGAGACAAAGAGAGAGAAGAGACATGCGTAAGAAACTGGCCCTGGAGGAAAGAAACCAAACTTTTAGCACTGTCAACAGTTGCAGAGAGCTGGGGAAGGGGAGGAATAAAGGATGGGAGTGGGGGTGGGAGGGGAGGTGTCTGCCACCTGAGGCAGGAATGAGATTCTCTCAGGGGACCCAGGAAGGTATGGGACAGAGGCCTGAGGTGAGGGTCAGTAGCTGGGAAAGTCCCACGTGAGTACACAGGGAAGGCTGGGGAACGGAGCATCGGTCCTGGAGCATGGCAGAGTTCTCCGAGGCTAATGCAGCCCCAGCTAAGTTACTCTGCCCAGCTGGACCCCTGGGAAAGAGGGAGGGGCTCTTTCACCATCTTAACTTGGGGACTGTGCATGCAGGTTCAGGCTTCTGGGTGGTTAGGAAAATTTGAAATCCAGTGGCCCAGGGAAATCCATGCCAGACCCTGGGATCAAGGTCAACCCAATGTCTTTGAAACCAAGAGGGGCCTAAAGATCTCCCTCCTTCAGGCTCTCAGGTGCATAGCCAGCCCATCCGAGGAGACTGAAGGTCCCTTCTGGCACATGCTGATGACCTGAGCATAGCATGTCCTCTTCCGTATCCACCTTTCTAAGGAGCCAGGCAACAGTCACCTAGCTTTCCAGCTCCTGTTCAGGGCCTTTCTTTGGAGCCATCCAATAGGCACAAAATGGGAAGATGAAGAGTAAGTACAGGAGCTTGGCAAGGTCTGAAGAAGTCTTGGCCAGGCTATAGGGCCTTGTGAGCGAGGCTGCAGAGAGATGGCTCTGGAGGGAACAGAATGCAGAATCTAGGATAGGACATGTGGGCAGCAGGTCAGAGGCCAGAGGTCAAGGTGCATAGCTTTAAGGTGGAGCAACTTCCCAGAGCCAGGATCATCTGTGTCTTCCTGAGAGGAGAAGGAAGTATGGTAGCCGCTGCTCCTTACAAGCATCCACGTGTGAAACTTGGCTGGTGCTCTGCGTTTCCTCTCTCAGTAGAACTAAGGGAGAGGGGTTCGCAGATGGGGCAGACAGGCAAGCATGCCTTAAGAAGGGGCCCAGGGAAATAATGATAAAGGCAGATAAAACATTCTGGAAGAGAGAGGATTCTGAGTCAAGAATCTGCCATTTCAACCCCTAAAGGAGGGCAAAAGCTTCCGGGATTATTCCCCCCAAGAGACTGTTAAAAAGGGAACTCAAATGGCATTTGGGCTAAAGGACCTGGGTGGGCCCAGGGGTCTTAGAAAATGGGAGATGCCAGCCGGGTCCCAGTGAGGTGAGGAAGTGCTAAGTGCTCCATGTTCTTCCTGTGCTTGTGCTGGGTACTGAGCGCTGCTGGTCCAGGCTGACACTGGCACTGGCATCTAACCTTAGGGCTACAGTTTCTCCCTTTCTTCAGGGTAGATCATGGTTCCTTTGTCCCTGCCCCACCAGTAGTTGGTCAGGAGTTGGTAAAATTCCATTTAGTTGCTCCGGAGCTAGTGGAGCTGGGAAAGGCAAACTCAATGAAAACATGTTTTTCCTGCTAAATGAATTTTCCGATAACACCTTCTTTAAAAAAAAAAAAAATGGAACAGCTCCTCTGCGTAAAACACCCAACTTCTCATTTTCTGCAGTTGTGCAGGCCACGAGGCAGGGATGAGAGGAAGCAGCTGGGAGGTGGAGGGCCTGCTGGCTTGTTGGGGGGGCTAAAGGGAAGAGTATAGTCCCATTGGATGCTAGTGGGTGTTTGGGGAAAGAGAATTGCCTAAGAAGCATGAGAACTAATCTGCAAGTCAGGGTTTGGCAAACTATGGCCTGTCATCCACTGTAGTTTTTTTTGTAGTTTACAAGCTAAGAATCTACATTTTAATAAAGTTCTTTTTTGTTTGTCTGAGCAGAACATGCGCCCTGCAGAACCTTAAAGCTCTGTGATCTGACCTTCATGGACAAGAGTTTGCAGATCCTTGCTGTGAGGGACAGAGGAAAGGGCTGGGGGTGGGGGACTGTGCTTGGAGATGCCAGCGGAGAAAGGACACAAGAACTGCCACAGGAGAAGCATGGGCCCAGGATGTTGGCAGCCGAGGGGCGTCCATCAGATTCTGGTAGGATAGGACAATAGTGGGAAGGGAAGAGTCGGTAGCTGGAGTTCTCCAGTAGCTAGGGAGAGTTTGGACCCAGGTCCTGGCCTGGGCTGATGGTTTCAACAATTGAAAGCAGGGATAATGTGGGTGCATGCATCTAGCAGCCTGAGGCTGTGCAGAGGGGCAATTCTGTTCAATTCTGTTCAGGCCACAGCGCCACCCCTTTCTTCTATCATCTGTATCCATTCCAGAGTTGCAGTAGCCAATCTTGGGGAGGGAGGAATCTGCCTCATCTGTCACGACATCCAGCTGGACTCCAAAGGTGTTACCATTTGAACAAGAAGAGCCCTGGGCAGCGTGTCTGGCCAGCCAGGGCCCCAGGCCTCTTGCATAGGCGTGGGCAGCTGGTTCTCTTGAAGCCTTTCCCAGAGCAGGGCTCCTGTCTGCTGGCCTCGCACGCAGAGAGGCAGCATGCTGAGCCGAACTTGCTGGTCTTTCAGATCCCTACATCTTGCCAGTAGCAGGGCCTGGTTCTTAGGCTTGCCTTTTTTCCTCCCTTTCTCTTCTCCTTAGAGAGGCGAGCTTAAGAGTGCTGCTTTCCAGTGCCTGTAAAACGCTCCCGGAGGAGAGAAATCCTTGGGTGCAGGGAGAATTCCCCCAGCCTGGAAGGAAGCTCATGTTAGGCTGGCAGAGGGAGCGATGCTGGGGCTGTAGCCCAGCCCTGTCATAGGGGTCTGAGAGTGAATGCAAATGCACGGGAGGACGCAAGGAGGGGCGCCCAGGGCAGGGAGCCAGTGGTTAAGGTCAGATAGTGGTTGCCAGTCTATCTCTTCTTGGTCCCGGGTACTTGAAAGAGGCTCTGATTTAGAAACACCAAGCTCAGAAGCATTGAGAGAACATCTCAAGTTTGTTCTCAGGGGAAGATGATGGGCCATTATGGGGAGGACAGGTAGCTACAGAAGGTCAAAGAGACAGGGACAGGATGGAGGGCAGGGACAGAGGAAGTGAGAGGGAGGGAGGAAGTGTGGGGCAGGTTGGCCAGCAGAGTCGGGTTTCAGAGAGGAGGCAATGGGAAGGTAGGAGGACAGGGCCCTGGAGGTAAAGTCACAGGGAGGGGGGGAGGAGCAGTCAGGGACCGGTGGTAGCCTGGGGTCCTCAGAGAGGGTGGATCAGACACAGATCCTTCCATGGGGAGAGGGAAGCTCCGGCATGAGTAACAAGAGGGAAGGGAGCAGCAAAGCGTGGGTGGCATCTGCCAAGGCCACGGGGGGGACCCAGAGTGGCACTCTAGTGGCTGCTCATGAGATGTGGGGGGGGGCGGGGAGAGGGAAGGAAGCTGGGGGCGGGGAGAGGGGATTTGGGGGAGCCAGCCCACTCAAGGGGAGGACTTACAGGAAGGATTTCATGTCCAAGCCTCGGTTTCGAATCTGCCCCACCACGTGGTCCCAGCTGCCCGGGTTGGAGCGACTGTGGCCCCCGGCTGCCCGGTACTTGGAGCCGGCCGAGGTGCCCTGCCGAGCCTGGCCCCGGCCATAGGTCCGGGGATTGGTGCCCGGTGCCGAGGCTGCGTGGGTTTGCAGCTGGCCCAGGCTCTGGCTGGTGGTGGGCTGGCTGGGCGGCCGGCCCCGCTGGTGTTGGCTCAGCGGCTGCTGCAGACTCTGCTGCCGCATCAGAGTGCGGGGTCGCTGGCATTTCGGCTCTCCCGCGGAGCTGGGGATAGACTCAAGGGTAGTGGCCGTGGACAGGGTGGAGTCCTCGAAACTTGGGGCAGGTGGAGGAGAGGAGAGAAAGGAGAAGCAGGTGAAGGGATCACAGTGGAGGAGAAAGAAGCCGAGAGCCAGGGCTGGGAGGCCCCAGTGCAGGGCGCGCTCGGCCGGACCTCGCCATGCCTCCATCGGTGTCGCTGCCGCTGTTGCTGCCACCGCCTCACCCAGGAGCCACAAAGCCTGAGCCCACCCTGAGGCCCCCAGCTCGGGCCCCACCCGCTCCCGGTCTGGCCCTAGCTCGGCTGGCTAGCGAGTGCCCCAGGTACCTCCCGTCTGGCCTGGTCTCTCTGCTGATCTGAGCCGGGCCGCAGCTGCGGTGGCAGCGTGGTGAAGGCAGTTCCCACGGGCCGGGCCGCTGCCAATCAAGTTGGAAAGGGGAGGGGAGAGGGAGGTGTGGCTGTCCCTTCCGTTGTCTCACTGGGGGCCACCAGCTAAGTAAGTCTGCCTCTGGGTTCCAGGTACTACTGTCCTGGGAGACAAGGAAAAATCCAGGCCAGCAGAGCTGGCCTAGTAATGCCTGGCGAAGGGGGGCAGCCAGCAACTCTCCTCCTCTGCCCATGGAGAAGAGGAAGGAGCCTCAGGCCCACAGACCCCCGTGTCCTGTGGCCAGAGCTGTTTATCCCAGAGGCCCTTGGTACTGTGGGAAAGACTCTCTCTCTCAGAGGAAGGGACCAAGGAAAGAGTAGCTGGTGGTAGAGAGCCCCAGAAGTCATTCATTTGGCTATTTCACTCCTGGGAGGCAGGACATGGACAGACTGGAGTCAGGACCCCTCCCCACCAGCTGGTTAGAGACAGTATAAGCTCAGAGAGATCGGGGTTCAAAGCCCATCTCTGCCACTGACTAACTGGATTTTGGAAAAGCCTTTCTACCTCTCTGGGCCTCAGTTTCTTCATCTGTAGATTGAGGGGAATATATATATATATGTTTTAAATCCAGAGTTTCCATGAGGACCCAGTAGGGCCAGGCTGTGCGGAAGGGTTGGATGGGTTAAAAACTCCCATGCCACAGATGAGAGTCAGGTCTGTCGTTTGAGGTCACCTGCCCTTCTCTGTGCTCTGACCAGAGATCTCAGTACATGCCACACGGGGGAGGGTCCCAAGTGGGCTGTCAGCAGAGTGCCAAGTCACAGACTACCCTGAATAGCTCAGAGCAAGTCATTTCTCCTTCTTGGGCCTGAAGGTCCAACTTCTTCTCCACCATCCCTTCCCTCCTTCTCCCAGTCCAATGGTCTAGGGCAGGAGTTGACAAACTATGGGCTGTGGGCAATTTGTGTTTGTTTTTAAAGAAAGTTTTATTGGGATACAGCCATTGGACTTGATTTACATTCTATCCACAGCTGCTTTCCTGCTACAATGGCAGGGCCAAGCAGGGTGAAAGGCACAGCTTGGCTGGCAAAAGTCTAGCTCTTTCTTAGATATTACCTGGCCCTTTACCGAGAAAGTTTGCCAACCCCTGGCCTAGTGGTCTAGGGTCACTGAGGATGCTTAGGCCCTGTTAAGAGGTCCAGGCCCTCGGGAGCCTCGTTCACCACTGCAACCAGCACTCAGCTTTGCTTGCCCCCTGATCCCACCCTTGGAACTAAAAGACAACAGTTAGGTGGCCCCTGTGGGCAGAGAGAAGGAATGAGAAAGAGAGAAGAGAAAGAGTATAGTACAGAGAGAATGAGAGAGAAAGAGAGATAGAGAGAGAGAAAGAGAGAAAGAGAGAGAGAGGAAAGCAAAAAGTGGCTGAAGCTTGGGTACTTGGGGTAGCAGCCTTGTCTGACTCAGGCCTGGAATCAGGGCTACCCCCACAGGAAGGCCCAGGCTGGATTGGCCTGGTAAGCCCACAGCTCCCTGGGGGGGGCAGGTGGAGGTAGAGGGAGGATTGTATATTGGTGGCTGCCTCCTCCTCCTTGCTGACCTCATTTTGGTTTCCTATCACATCCAAAATTAGTACAATTTACAACCTCTCAGTCACAGGAAACTAAAATTGGTTCCTCTAGATCTGAAGCCAGTGAATGGCATGGAGTTCTAGCTGGCCTACAGTCTGGCAGGGCCCGTCTAGGTAGGCTGGGGTGCAGAGCTTGACTCTGGTGGGGTGTGGGGCTTCCCTCAGGACCTTTCTGAGGCCAGATGTCAGGGAAGAAATTGACTTGCGTTCACTCAAGCCAACAAGCAAATGAGGTCTCAGTCTGGTGGCCCTAGCTGGTTCCAAGGGTGGAAAATTTCAAGAGAACTCAGATGGCCCTAAATAGAAGCTAAAAGGGTGGCCCAACAACTAAGAGGGGTCAGGGCTTTAGGTCTAATGGGGAGGCCACTCGGTTAGCGGATTGAGGCTGTTCCAATGGAATCAGCATCTTCATGTGTAAGGAGGGCCATAGTTCAGAGGACCTAAGAACTGGAATGGCTTCTTGGTGGGGGAACTGGAGGTGAGTAACAGCCAAGATGAGGACAAGGCTGCTCCACAGAGGAGACATGGTCATCTTTGGAAAACAGAGTCAAGCCTGTGTAAACCACCCAAGAGTGGGAATGCCTGCTCAGAAAGCTCAGGGCAGGTGTTGAAAAGGGACAGTTCTTTGTGGCCCCCAGACTACACCCTGGCATCTGAACAGAGCAGCTAGCTGGGGCTCAACAACCCAACCTCCAAGAACACCCAACCCCAGCAGCTGGCAGTGGGACAGCTCACTGACCGAGACTGGGACAGCCAGTGGGGATGGCTAGGGTGAGATGAACAATCGGGGTGGCCTGTTCATGGATGAACCCCTGAAACAGATGGTTGCATGATACAAGCAAGACTGGGACAAGCAGATGAAATCCCTCGGTGGTCCAAAATGGAACGGCTCAGTGCTGGGTCTAGAGCCATCTGCTGGCCACAAGAGGAAAGGCCTGGTGGCTGATGAGGGGCATAGGCACAGGCTGGGATGGGATGGTCCCGTGGTGGGACAATCTGGGGCCCACTGCTCATGAAAGGGATATCCTGGAAGTTGGGATGGGCAGCCAATCGAAGAGGATGGGATGGCCCAAGGACTGGAATGGAGCTGCTCTGGGGGCTGAGAATGGAATGGCCTGGTCACTGGTTAAGGGAGGGACTGATGGGCCGCCAATGGGCTGTGAACGTGGGGTACCGCATGGCTGAGTTGGTTGTGCCTCATGGCAAGGATGATGATTGCCTGGTGAAGGGATGGAATGAGCCAGGGGGCCGAGGTCGGCGCCTCCGGGGGCAGCAGCGGGCATGCCAGGGGTCCCGCTGTCCATCCTGCAGGGGGCAGGCCTGAGCTCACGGCTCCGGCGGCCACGGGGCGCCAGCACTCACTTGGACAAGTTGAGCTTCCCTGCGGCCAGGTGGCTCTGCACTGTCCGCCAGCGGCCTCTCCCCGCCTTGCCACCGCCGCCCGGCTCGCTGGGGGCAGCCCCTCCGCTTCTCAAGGCGTCCTCTCCGGGTGGTGGCACCGGTGCCGGCTTCTCCCCCAGCCGGCCTTCCCGCTCCACCGCCAGCCCCGCCGCGGCGGCCACTTTGGCGCCCGACAGGAGGGTGCCACTGGAGGCATGCACAACGCAGCCCGGCCAGGGGGACACCGGGGGTGGTGGTGGGGGGAGAGAGGGCAGGCCACACGTGGGGGTGGAGGGGAGGAAGAGGAGGAAAAACAACGACAGATAAAAGGAAAAAAGAGACAGTGAGAGAGGAGGAGAGAGACAGACGGACAAGAGACAGACAGAGAGAGAGAGAGAGACATCAGCACTGCAAATGAGTTAACAGCAGAGCCTGCAGGAGAGAGGGGACCGGGCGGGCTGGGGGGCAGAGAGCAACGCACCACGACAACGGAAGGGGGCCCCTCCCCACCGCCTGGGGCAGGGGCGGCGGGGGTGGGGGAGGGCAGCCACCTCCAACTCTATCCCACAGGACAACGAAGGGTTAACGACGGAGGAAGAGCGGGCTGTCCAGGCCAGGAGGCCCCCAGGCAGGGAGAGAGAGAAAGCTGTGTTAGTCAGAATTCATCACCACCACCACCACCATCACCGCCACCACCGCCACGAACCACCGACCACCGACCACCGACCACCAGCAGCCACGGCAGCAGCACACAGCGGGGAGGAAAAAGCGAGCCACAACCGAGAGGGAGGGACCAAAAACGGGCAACCCCAATCCTGACTGCACAGAGGGTGGAGGAGGGGTCAGGACAGCTAGTGGGGGGGGCAGGCGTGGCTGCGGCGCGGGGGCGGGGGGGCAGGGGGCTCTCCTGTGTGGCTGGCCCTGGGGGAGGGGACAGGGGGGCAGGCGGGCAGAGGGGGCAGGAGGGGTTGCTCGTCTCCATGGCCAGCCTGCCCATGGGGGTAGATGGGTGGGACGTGGGGGGAAAGAGCAGGAAGGAAGTGAAAGGGGGCTGGGAGCAGATGGGAGGAGGGAAGGAGGGCGTGCGCGGGTAACTCGGTACATTATGATCAAACCAGGTAAAGTCACTCACTTGAGGGACAGTCGTGGGTCGCCATAAGGGGCGTAGGGTGAAATGTTTAGAATAAACTCCTTGGGAGGGTAGGAGCTCCATTTCTGCTGCACTGTGCTCTCATTGTTATTCCAAAAGTCTCTGTCTAGGTCGCTGGAGGGGCAGAGAGAGAGGGGAGAAAAACAGGGAAATACAAGAAGAAACAAGAACTGCCAATCCTGTGGGGGCAGGAGGGGTGCGGGAACCCCAGGGGAGCACGGAGTGGGCAGGGCTTCCAGGGTCAGTCCTGCAGAGGAAGAAAGGCAAGCAGGCACTGCGTGCCCGTGCCTGCACACACACATGCACACGGGCAGGCACACACACTTGTACACGTGCGTGAAGGCACGTGGACACGCAGACACACCACACACACACACACACACACACACACACACACACATTGAAGGGTCAGCAGGTGAAGCTGTACAGAAGGAGCGTGCTGCAGGAGGATGGACGGGAGCCTCGAACCTAGGACGCTGGTGGGAGAGAGAAAGATGATGAGAGGAAGGGACAGTGGGCAGGGGAAACTGGGGCAAGCCTGGGGAGGCGGAGGGCACTGGAAGAAGGGGGAGAGTGTTGGTTTCTGGTTTAGAAGGAAGTGGGGAAATAGACCAGGTCCTGGACCAACTGAAGGCCCTACTCTCCTGCCTGGCAAAGGAGAAGATGGTGACTTTCTCCCTTTCCATCTTCTCTCTCCTGGCCAAAGGTGGCCCCTGGCCTCCTCTGTCCTGTCCCCACCTCTGCCAAGACTGAGACGCAGGGTTTCCATGATTTGGGAGGGGGGCTCTCAGTGAGCTGGAGAGATGTTCCAGATGTGGTGGTTGGGGTCTCCTAGAGAGGAGGGGCCTCTAGGCCTCTGAGCTTACTGAGGGTCTCATATGCATTGGTCCTTTGCTCTGGGACTTGGATGGAGGGAGCCTGCCCTTCTCTGATGGGGTCAAGGACTCCTATGTGTGTCCAGCCTGTCCGCTGGGCAGCTCCTCTCTGATCTCATCCCTTTCCAAGATGGAGCTGCTAAAGTCCAAAGGGACCATCGCTCCAGTCTGCTACCCCCTGCTGTGATTTGGGGTGTTAGAGGAGCATCAGCAGTCTGCTAGGAGCGAGACTGTGGGGACTTCCACATAAAGCAGGTGGCAGAAGTCTAGGCTGACAAAGAGCCTGGCCTGGAGACCTCGGGTGCTAAGGACAAGGTCTCCACCATCTTGTCATCCCCCTAGGGCCTCAAGGAGGAGGACTGAGGTTTTCAGGGGGAGAAGAGAGGCAGCTCCCAGGCCAAAGGACAGTTCTGGAAGACTGGGCCATGCCTGGGTCACGAGAATGCTGCTGGAGAGGGACTCTGGTGGGAGATGGGAAGTCCTGCGTGCGGGCTGAAGGTTGGACTGGAGTTCAGGCCACAGTGCAGCGCCGTTGGGGGCGGGACATGTGAAGGGGAGAATGCTCTCTAAGGATCAAGCAAACCATTCTGTGGGACCTGCTTCTCTTGACCCCGAGACTTTGGCCTTGACCCTTCTTAACCTCAGACTTGGGAGCAATGAGAGGCTGGGCTGCCACCACGGGCTCTGGTCTAGACAGTCTCTCACTCTAGAATAGGACAGGAGCTCTTGAAAATGTCTCATCAGGGACTCTGTGTACCAAATTCAAAGCCCAAGACCTGAGGTAGCTCCCAGGGACAGACAAGGCTGGGGATGGGCCCAAGGAAACTGCTTCCTTCAAAGGACCCCATGTCCAACAGAGGTGTCCTTTGGCCTTGTTCCCCAGCAGGGCACCACAGAAAGTAGTGGATGCCCATCCTCCCACCACAGGTCTAGTTACAGATGGGGAAGGTGGACAGCCTCAACCCTTCAGATCTCCAAAATCTCTATCCGACCCCAAGTCCTAGAGCAAAAGATCCACGAACAGTCATCCCTACCAGCCTCATGTCCCTCCCTAAGTTTCAGGGAACTCTAGAGTCCCTGAGGTCTCTACTATGGTACTGGAAAAGAGAATCTCTAATTAAAGAAGTTTGGGGGAAAAAAAAACTGGTTTCTTTACTGCGAGACTTGTCAGAGCCTTTAATGTATCAATAATGATCAGTATCATCAAAAAGGGAGACAGAGTGTGCCGTGTTTTCCAAACCTTGGTTGGCTGTGGAACCCTTGACTCCTGTATCATTGATGGGACCCAAGTGCTCTGAGGAACAGAGTTTGGGAAGCACTGCTAAGATGATCGCTAACCAGATGAGTCCCTTGGAGGAGGTCTGAGCCTGTAGGGAAGTTGTATAGCAAATAAATGGCTCCGGTTGAGAATATGGGACACACAGACATGGGAAGGGACTTCCTTCGCCTAAGGCAGAGATCTGACAGTGCAATAGGTGGAGGGGGGGCAGGCTTGGATTGTGGATGGTGTGGCTACAGGCTGGATGGCACTACTGCCCTCACAGTGCCCTCCTGGAACTGGTCCCAGCCTGGCAGAGCTCGTGGCTGACCTGCTACCCTCTGGCTGGGGGCAGGTCCTTCCCAGAAATCCTGGCCCTGCCACATGTGCTCCTCTGCAGGAAGGCTATGGTCAGCTGGTGGAAGGGCCGCTGCCCTCATCCAGGGCCCCATGCTGCCCAGCCTGGAGACAGCAGAGGTGCTGGGCGGGGCCCACGCTCTCCCTCATACATGCTTCCCCCTCCCCTCCAGAAAGCCCAGGGCCTGAGCTCTGCATCAGCCCCTGAGACCTGCCAGCTCTTGTCTTTGAAGACTTGTGAGCCAGCAACCAAACTCAGCTTCAAAGGCTCCCCGTAGCCTCCCCCAGAGCCTTCCACCTACCCATCCCCTCAACTGGCCCACCCTTCCACTCACCCCCCAGCCCAGACACACCCCCGCAGCTTCCCTGAGAGCCCCAAACAGGGTCAGAGCAGGAGAAGAAAACAGAGCTGTGATGAGCAGGGAGCCTGGGTGGGAGTGGAGGAGGCAAGGAAAGGAGAAAGATACAGGAGGGCGAAGGCCTTAGGCAGGAGTAGAAGAGAAAGGGGAGGGGAGAGCATCAGGCCTTGAAGTGTGGAGGGGCTCAGCTTCTAGGCAGAGCCCCTTGGCTGGCAGGCTTGGCTCTGGAGAGGCTAAGATGAGGGTGAGCTGTCCTTCCCTGATAACTTCCCAGTGAATGCCTGGGCTGTACAGAGAGAAAGGGCTAGCTACAGCTATTGGCCGGTGGGCAATAGAGAAAGTCTGCATTCCCAGAGCCTGGGGGCTTGGAGCTTCCAGCCGGGTGAAGTGGGGGGCTTCTTACATGTCTCCCAGTGACCCTCAGCATTGGGCTGGCCACAGTGGGCTACAGAAGACAGTAGCCATCTGTCGATGGGACTCAAGTGGGACCCTGGCAGGGCAGAGGCCGGGCCCAAGCTACAGGGAAGGGAGGGTGGAACCTTCTCCCCATAGCTCTGTTCCCTAGGAGGGGCCAGGGTTGGGTCCCCAGGTTGGTCTCTTCCCCATGTAGTTCCTCCTCCTCAGAACATGGGTAGAATCTGAGAAAAGACCCAGTGCCTACGATGGGGAGGGGTTTCCAACCCAGGACAGGGGGGCTGAGGGAAGAGCCAGGACCTGGGGGCAGTGCGTGTCATACACAGTGGGTAATGGGACCAGCAACTGGGGCGCAGACAGAGGGAGCCAGAACACAGGAGCCAGGGCTCTGAAGCTTTGTGATCGTCTCAGGGGGCACGGACAGAAAAGAGGGACTCTGGTGTCACCCTGGGGTTCTAGGGGTATGGAGGTGGGTAGACAGCGTGGACGTGTGTGGCCAGGTCTGAGGGAGGGGGAGGGGCTCCTTCCACCTGGATTGTCTGCATTACCCGCCCCGCCCCCCCCAACTGGCAGCCTGGCACCTACTTGATGGCCTTCTTCTCACTGCGCCCACGCCCTGAGTCTGGCGTGCCCACTGTCTCCAAGGAGTTCTTGTAGCGTTTGCCCTGTGGAGATAACACTGGGGTCACTCTCGAGGGGGTCAGGCTCAGACTCTCCCCACCTCCCCCACATAGTGACGCTAGGTTACAGGGGGGAAACCAGAGTCTGGGCTTGCATGCAAAAAGGTGTAGGGATGATATGTGTGTGGGGGGGGTCACCACTGTGGGGGGTCCCTTCCCCCTGGTTGACCAGTATCTGGGGTCCCAGTGGGCTCTAGGACCTGCCTGTTACCCAGAATGTATACCTCACGCCTGACCCGCAGGTATCAGGCCGTAATGTCTGAAAGTCTCCTGGGCCTCTGGCCCAGCTCCCAGAAACAGTTCCCTCTGCCACGGACAGACAGCTCTCAGGCGCCTGGCCACGTCACACTGTCCACGTCACCGCCCCCAGATGGTGGGGGCGGCATCCTGCAGGGCAAGGTTGGCAGCGGCCAGTGACGTGATTGGCGGGGGCAGGGAGGCCACGTGTCCCGTCTTGACCAGGGCTGTGTGGTCACTGGAGGCTCCCTGGGGCCCTCCTGCCCCCGGGCCTTTGTAAGAGGCAGCCTTGAGAAGGGAGGGGCGGGGGAGAGCGGACTGTGCTGGTGTGGGTGCAGGTGCAGCCCCAACCAACGTGAGGGGTGAGGGGCAGGGCAGCCAGTGGGCACCCCAGGTCCTTCCAGCCAGAGGAAGGGCCACAGGAGCAGCCGCAACTGCCGGGAAGGTGAGCACCATTCACCTTCTCAGTTTGGGTTTCTAAATTTAGCTCATGCAGAGCCCGGCCCCATTAACATTCCTGGCTGCCACCAAGAGTCCTCACGTGCACCCATGGGCTATGGGCTGGGCAGGGCCCCGGACTGAGGCAGGCAGTAAAAAGCTGAGGGCTGGTGGGGGCTGGGTCTGCTCCTTCTCCTACTCCTAGTAGACACGGACCACCCCTGCCTAGCTGAGCGTAGTCACACAGAAATACACAGATCACACACACACAGAGGCACGTGCATGCTTCCTCAGCATTCCTTCATATGCACCAACACTGCAGCCACAACAGTCAATTATTCTATCCTTCCTAAAGCAAAATAAGAGCTGCCACAGCCACATTCCCGGATGTTCCTGCCAGCTGTACCCCTTTCCTAGCCACAGGACCTGGCTGTCCAGGGAGACTCAGCAGCGCTTCTAGGAAGGTGTGGAGCATAGACAGGCGTCCCGTTCTGCCCCTCGCACCCCTGCATCTCAGGGGTACCTGGGTCTTGGCCTCAGCTATGCTTCACCTTCCCTGTATCACACTGGCCAAGCCTCTTCCCTTCTCCGGCCTCTTGCTGCCTTCCTGAAATGGTATGACGTCACCAGATGAGCCCCCTAAAGGATGATACCCCACTCCTAGACCACCAAGCTGCCCTGGAGTGGAGGCCCACAAAGGCAGAGCTGTATGCTCTCTAGAACCTAGAGTTGAGCTTGGTACCACTTGGCAGTCAGTTCTCAAAAAATAACTGGAAGAAATGCCTCCCCTTACCCCACCCACTCTGGGGCCTGGACCACTGGAGACCACTGAAATCTTAACAGCTAGAATACAGGGCTGTGAAGGTGGCTCAGTGGTAGAGTGCTTGCCTAGTATGCATGAAGCCCTGGGTTTGATTCCTCAGTACCACATACACAGAAAAAACAGGAAGTGGTGCTGTGGCTCAAGTGGTAGAGCGCTAGCCTTGAGTACAGAAAGGCTCAGGGACAGAGCCCAGGCCCTGAGTTCAAGCACCAGGACTGGTTAAAAAAAAATGAGAATGCAGAGTCCTCGACCTTCTGGGCTCTCAATAGCTTCACTCTCAGACCTGTCTCTAGTTCTTCCCACTATCATCCTCAAGTTCAAATCCCCAGCACCTACTAGGGTTAACTGGGAGCATCAGGGGTAGACCACCCCGTGGTGGCCAAGGACTGTCCCTTAGGCAAGAGTCCAGCCCCCACTATTTTCCAGTCCCCAGGCAGTGCAGGGCAGGGTGGATCTGTTTGGTGGCATTCCCAATGCTCTTATCACAACACCCCTGCCCACCCCCCAACACTCTTCTTTCTGCTCTTGGCAGAAGACCTTGTCCCTGACAGCATCCTCCACTAAGGCTCATCAACTGCCCCTTCCCCAAGGCCAGGCAGAGCTGGAGTGGGTGGGTGATCTTGATTTACCCAGGGCATTCTGGGAGTTGAGAGGCCCTTCCCCTCTAGCTGTAACTATTTATTACTGTGCGGTAGGAGCTGAGGCATGATGGGCAGTGGAGATAGAAAACAGGGCAGGACTTGACTGGGGGGCAAGGGGAATTTAATAGGCGAACCCAAGTCAATAGGAAACCAGGCGGGGCCCAGGAGATATGAGGCTGCTCCAGAGGAGCCCACAGCACCAGTCTGCTTATCAGGGAGGGGGAGGGGGCTGGGGGGCTGGCTAGGCTGAGCCGGAAAAAGCCAGCTGGAGATTAAGGAAGTTATTAATGTTTGGAAATGGGATCTGGGCTGTCAAGGAATCACGTCACTGGTGGTGAGGGGACAGGCAGGCAAGGAGAGCCCAGCAACTGTGTGTGTGGGGGGGGGGGGGGCAACAGTTCACAGCCCTTCCCTTCAGCAAGGAGACAGCCTGGTCAAAAACCTCCCTGGTATCCAGGACAAGGGGATGAAGATGGTAGCATTTTGGTGTGTGTCTTGGGGAAGGGAGGTTTGGAAGATAATGTTCTACCTATGGCCTGGAGTTCAGGAGGGGCCCTGACTGGGAGCCAGGCGTGGGGTTGAGCACAGGGCGGGGGTCGGCTCTGTGTCTCTCAGTGGCTCAAGATATTTCTCATAATGAAAACACCACCTGCTTACAACTGGCATCCTTGAACTCCTGTCCCAGGATCAGCCCACATTGGAGGCTGAGTGGGGGTGGGGGACCGTTTGTATGCTGGTCCTGGAAAGGGTGTCATACACAAACACACACACACACACACACACACAGAGTCACATACATACACTCACACATTGTAGTAGGTACATACAACAGCACATATATACATGTGCACATCTTACTGCTCAGGGAAGGCAGCTTCCTCCCCCCCAACATATATACATACACACACACATACACACTGTTGCTCCAACATACTCATCACAAAGGCACACCTCTTCCCTCCCCCGCCCCCATGCACCCAAAGTCACCAGCAATGCCTGCCTACAACCTTCTTGCCCTGTCTTCAAATACAGACAGACCAAAGAGCCTAACAGGTCTGGCAATGAGGAGCCAGCACAGGGCTGCAGAGTGTGCTCAGCCACTCCCCTGGTTTCTGAGGCCAAGCTCCTTCCATTACCACCCCTGAAATTCTGACACAGATAGACTCGGGGGACCCAAGAACAGTGCAGGGTAACCAGCCCTGTCCACACCCCTGCTGTAGGGCTGGCTGGGCTGGGTCAATCACATACTCACACTTGTGTATGTGTGTGAGCACGCTTACACACACACACACACACACACACACACACACGGATCTGAGCGGGCATGCTTTGTAGCTCTTCCCCAGAGGCTGGAATTGCCTGACAGTCCACATCCTAGTTGAGTTTGCCACTACTATAGGAGCTGTGCTGGCTTAAGCACCTCATGGGTTCCCAGACCAGGTATCTCACAAGACCAATACATCTCCCCCCCCCCCCCCTCCTCAAGAGAATTCTTCCCCTATAGGCATGGGACATGAAGCCTCTTACCCACTCAGTGCCCATAGCTATAGCCCTTGCCCTTTGTCCTAATAGTCCCTCTGGGACAGAATGGAGTTCCCAATGTGAAGCTCTGCCCCCACTTCACACCATTCTCAACTGGGGGGTGAGGGAGAGTCTGCGGGGACCTTTTTTTTCACCTGAGCCCTGCAAAGGCCCTGAACCTTGGACACCTCTCCCCTTGTAGCCCTCCAAGTCCCGCTGTGGTTTCTGGGTGGGGCTGCAGGAGGCCAGATGGAGGGCTGCTGGTGGGGCTCGCAGAACTGCAGGCTGGGTGGAGCTGAGGGCTGCGGCTGCAGGCTCAGCGCGCTCCCGCTCCCGGGGCCCCAAAGTGATGAATGTCCCTCCTGACAGTCTCGTTACTTATTGATGGCCTAATCCTGCTCGTTAATTCCCCAGCCCTCGTTAAAAATGAAAAGAAGCCGTTTGTGCTTGTACAAACCCGGGAGAACCGGGATGGATGTGCTGTTGGGAGTGGGGAGGTGAGGGCGTCGCCTCCTCATTGGCTAGAAGATGCCACTCGGCCACGCCCACCGGGGGCGGGGCGTGAGAGGAGAGGGGCGGGGCGGGGCGCAGGGGTTGGAGGGGCCTCAATTTCCAGTCTCGGCTCCTGTGAGTTTGGGGCTCTTTATGTGGGCGGTGGGGCGCGCGCGCGCACGCGCGTGTCCTTGCATGCATGCGCGCACGTGTGTAGTTTAGAGCCTTAAAGGTTTAAGTGTGTCCGCAAATGTGTCCCCACGTTTGTGCTTCTATAGGTAAAAAAGAGACGTATGGGACCAAGATTCAGGCACACACAGGATGCCCTGGCAAGGGGGCTCAGTTAGAATTCACGCTGCTTGCTTTGACATTCACACACTGTGCACTGTGCATGTGTGCATGTGGCATGAATTTCCACGGAGCTGTGTCTGTGTGGGCAGGTGGGCTATCTGCACAAGCTGGAGCTAAGCACATGTCTGGAGTTGTGGAGGGAGGGGTGCAGGGCCACCCTCCCCCAACCCCCTACAGGGACCCACAGGCGCCTCACCAGTTTACGCTGACACCAGTGGCAGAGGCCGCAGAGGACGACAGTGACGCTAAGGCTGACGGTGATGATGGCAGAGACCAGGAGGACATCACGGGTGGGTGCCCCTAAAGAGGACAGGCACAGTCAGACCCTCAGCAGTCCAGGGCTAGCCGTTCTTCTCTATCCCAGAGGGCCCCCCTCCTCCCCGCTCCAGAATAATCCATATCCTCCTCTTCCTTCTTGGTTAGGACATGGGGAGCTTTGAGTCCCGGTTCTACTGCCAGCTCTGCCTTGCTGGATGAACTTGCGAAGTCCTTCCCTTCCTCCATGCCTCAGTAAAATGGGGGGACTGTGCCACTTGGCATCTCTTTTCAGTGCTATCCTCCAGATGACTCTCTGCAGAGAGAGGCCAGACTTCACCAGGCCCATGATCTCTCTGAAGAAACCACTGCTTTTGTATGGTTTTCCAGACTTCCACCTCACACCCTACTCTGAGCCACAGCTCCAGTGAAATGGGACCAAAGGATTGTAGATCCTACAGTTCTCTGAGCACATCTGCCTCTGATGCACCATGGACCTTCTTAAGTGTTTGCTTGCTCAAGACCCAACAGCCATATGTGTCCTTAAGAGGAATTTTCCAGGGGCTGGGAAGGTGGCTCAGTGGTAGAGCGCTTGCCTTGCATGCCTGAGGCCCTGGGTTCGATTCCTCAGCACCACATAAGCAAAAAGAAAAAAAGCCAGAAGTGGTGCTGTGGCTCAGGTGCTAGCCTTGAGCTGAAGAGCTGAGGGACAGCGTCCAGGCCCAGAGTTCAGGCCCCACGACTGGACCCCCCCCAAGAAAAGAGGAATTTTCCAGAACCTTCTGCCTACCTTGGCTCAGCTTACTATGTTGGAAGTCTCTGCCCATCCCTGCTCTCTCCATCTTAGCCCCTGAGCTTACCTCTGGCCCTCCCTCCAATCCTGTTGGCTCTGGCACACATTTTGTGCTGCTCAGGGGCCAGATGCTTCAGAAAATGAAGACCTTGATGCTCTTCAAAGAAAGAGATCGAACATGGGGGAGGGGGAGAAACTCCAGGTTTCTTCCTGAATCTTGTCTCTTCCTAGTTGTGTGGCTTTGGACAAGTCATATAAGCATTCATTTTTCTCCTCTGTTAATGTGGATTAGCAGCCTCCTCTGTCTTCCTCACAGGTGGTTGTAAACATGAGTCTAAACCAAATGCAAGGAAAGCAAAACCTTGACCCAAAGTGGGAATGTGGGCGAGTGAGGAGAGAGAGAGAGAACAGCAGAGATCACGCGTGCACTGTAAATATGTGTGCACTGGGATGTGTCCTGAAGTCAAGGAGATGGGGTGTGTTTACAGAGGAGCCTGCGTGGGCTCTTTGGTGCCAGTGATTGTGGTAATTAAGAGTTGGAGATATTTGTCTGGTCCCAGTTCCTGTGGTTTTTCTGTCTTCCCTTCCTCTCCTGGTCTCTCTTGCTTGGCCAGAGGCCTTGTGGAGGAGCTAGCAGACACCTGACTTGCGGAACCTCTTAGTTCCTTCCCCCGACCCCTGCAGTGCCATGGGGGGCCTGCTCTCTCAAGGCTGCTGCTCGGCTCCCACCTCTCTCTCTGCATCTTTGTGGGACTTCTTACTGTGGGAAGAAGTCTCCTTGCCACCTCTGCCAAGCCTGTCCACCTGCCAGGTCCACAGAGACTCTGCCTGTGCCAAGTGCATAGCCTCAACCACCAGAAGCCCCTGCGTCCAGTTCACTGTCAGCCACAGCAACCATGAGCTGTGACCTGGACAACCTGCGGGCATCAGGTCCTGCCCATGGAGGTCTCACACATCAGTGACCCCTCCTCGCATAGAAGATGAGCCAGGAATTCCAGGTGCTCCGTGTACAGGAAAAACTCAGTCCTCACAACAACTGAGATATGCATTATGAGTTGTCCCTATTATACAGATGAGGAAAACTGAGCCCCAGACGGGTCAACATGATGCTCACACTCATTTAGCTAGCAGTGGGAGAGCTCAAGCCCAGGTGGCTCAGTTAGAATTCATGCTGCTTCCTTCGCCATTCACACCCACTACAGAGGTGGCTGTCTGTGGTTCTCAAAGCCTGCTCCCTGGAACCCCTAGGGTTCCCTGAAGTCAGTCAGGGGCTCTGGAGGTGGGTACTGAGCCGATAGGCTGTGGTCTCTTAAGCCCTCTTCAATCAGAGCAGCAGTATTTCCCTTGGCTTCACATCTTAGGCTTTTGCAGAAAATTCCATTTGAAGGAGCTGTGTTGCTAAGAAAGCTGAACCCCTCTGGAACAGTGACTCCTCCCCCACAAGATCCCCCAGCCCCCTCAGCAGCCCTCACACAGCCCTTGAAGGCAGGGTGAAACAAATGCTTGCGATTGCAAATTGCACTGATGTTGTGAATAAAAGTGACAAGATGTCCTTGGCCAGCGTGCCCTCGAGTGCTGTGCCATCAAGGGGCGCAAGCGTGTTCTCGCCTGCCATTAGAGAGGGAGCCGTTCCTAGGGCCTGGTGTCACTGTGTCTCTGGCTGGAAGGGACCCTGAGAGTCATGGGGGTGCCCCTCCCCCAGTCCTGGTGGGGACAGGGAGTTGTTTCTGCAAGAGGCTGTCCCTGCATGGCCAGGCCCTGTCAGGAAGGCTGCTGTGCCTGTGTGGAGCCCAATTTGTCTCCCTGGAAGTCCACACACTCTTTCCTCCTTCCCACCCCTCTCATGGTCCTCTACCTGACCTCTGGAACTACAAGGACTCTGCCACATGACAGGCCTCCAAATCCTTGCCGACAGTTCCCATGTCCCCTTCAAGTCTTCTGCAGGCAAAGCTGCCCAGGCCCTTCTATCCCTTCCTCGGATGACACACATGGTTTCAAGTCCCCTTATCGTCAGCATATTAACATTCAGGGAAAGAAAATATTGTAGCCCGAGTCAGCCTTTTGACAGGGCTGAGTTCCACGACCTATCCTTGGGCAGAGGAGACATCGTCGATTCCCCAGGGGGGAGACACAGACAAGGGCAGACAGATGACATCCACAGACCTGAGAGATAGGGTGAGCCAAGAGCTGGGCACAGCCAGGCCGACCGGGCCACTCAAAGGGGTGTGGGTTCACACACACTGTTGTGTAATGCCCAGGCCTGTACTGGGCATTAAATGATCTCCTTGTGTCCACTGAGCAAAGGCTGTGTTCCTGGCAAGTGTCAGGGGAAGGCCTGGAGACAAGATGCCCGTGCTGTCTTCCTCTCTCTAGCAGGGTTTCATCTCTCATTTGGAAACTCTTCCCAGCGTCCCAGTATACCAGGCTCTGCTATACAATAGGTGTCCCATTAATGCTTGTTGTGAGAATGAATGAGGAGAAATCCCAGGAAGTAAGGATATCAATGGAGGCTACTATTTATTAAGCACCTTGTGTATACTTTACTCTAGGGCCCCTGAAGTCAGGGTTGAAATCTGCACAAAGACATGTTCAGCAAACATTTGTTGAATATTCAGTGCTTGCATAGGATATCTTACTTGTCATTCAAACAAGAAGGGATGGGAGAGGCGTCAATGTCAATGTGAGACTTTCAGAGTCTCTCTCTTTTGAACACACACACACACACACACACACACACACACACACACACACACACACACACACCTTCTGTTCTTCTCCATGTCCAACTCTGCCTGACAAACTTGATTTTTCTAGTCTTAGATGAAAACACTCCCTCCATGAAGCCTTCTTTATTCTGTCTGGGTGTGGGGGTGGGGGGAGATTATTTTCCCTTCCTCTGAGTACCCATAACACTGTCTTTTAGTGATTAAGAGCCAGGGCTCAGCAGTCAGACTCCTGGGCTCAGATTCTGGTGCAGATTCTTCCAAACTCCATGACCTAATCCCTGCGGGTCTTGGTTTCCCATCTATAAAGCGGGTGGGGAGCGATAAAGTACATTTTTCATAGGACTGCTGTGAGGTTTCAAGGAATTAGCATGCATAATGTGCTTAGCACCGTGCCTGACACGGTAAGTAAGCAATAAATGCCAGCTACTATCCTCACCTTGCCACGTCACAACCTGTACACGCCATATCTGGGGCATATGGAGCTGGCGTTCAATCAGTGTTGAATGAATCAGAACTGGATACACTCGAGTCGTCCCCACAGGGCAGCACAGGTTAGGGGTCACATCTTACTCAATTTTATGTGTCACTAATCACCCCCTTGTCCCAGTAACTAGCCTAGGGCACCCATAGCAGGGAAAGGAGAGGATGGAGACTTGGACTATGGTGTGTGTGTGTGTGTGTGTGTGTGTGTGTGTGTGTGTGTGTGACAGCTGGAAGCAAGAATGGGCCTCAGGTGTGAACTGGAGACCCAACTCAGTGCCCTGCCAGGATTCTGCCCCTGTCCTTCTCATCTCCTCAGCAAGCCATGATTAATGGATGAACAGAATCAAACAGGGCCGCGGGCAGCTGAGAGGCCCAAGGGGAGCTGCGGGAGAGGGGATGGACTTCAGAGAGCAAAGCTCGCTAGCTGCCCCTAGGGGTGCAGGACAGCAGGGAGGCGGGAAGGGGCACAGCGACACAGACCCCAACATGGACACCCACAGTCCTCACCTATGGAGTCTCGCCCCTGGCACGGGCATGCATGCATATGCGCTCACACACATGTACACACACACACACACACACACACACACATGCAGGAAGTCTAGCTGTGCATGTCATTCCTCTCAGAATTCTTTACCTTTTAAATGTAACATTGTTTGTCTACTTAAATTCTATTTCTTCTTCTGTCCTGCTCCTTCCTTCTAAGGCACAGCAGAGCACGTGCAGTAAATTTGTGCAGATGACCTGGGTCCGAGCCCCGACTTGGGCCTGGGCCACTAAGTGCACCAAGGCAAGGCCTACCCTTCAAATGATGATAATAAACCCTGACTGCCCCTGCTGGGGGGCTGTCAGGACCAAATAATAGCGAACATGGAGGACACACAATGTGACAGACACTGCCTCAGAAACTTTATACGCCCCATCGCCAGAACCTCAAGCCATTATTAGCTCCATTTCTTGGGGGAAGAAACAGAGGCACTGAGAACTAAAGGCCTTGGAGCCCCAGAGGTCTCCTTAAGTACCACGTGACGGTGTTCTGTAAG